ATTCACATTCGCTCTGTTGAACGTCGTTTCTTTATTCTTAGTTCCGGTTTTACGACTCTCAGTAGAAAAGCTTTGTATTTTAATAGAGTAATGTTTTTGATAAGAGATCCGATGTGAAAAATTTGCTTTCCCATTTTAGGTTGCACAAGCTCTGCTGGAGCATGAATGACAATGAGGTCCAGAGATGGACGAAAAGTGATGACATGACACTTGTGGAAAGGTTTGGTGAATGACTTTTAATCCATTCAAAAAAAAACGGATAGATTTTACATGATCTAAACTTGAAGAAGATGGATGATGAATTTTGAGCTTTGTCACAAAATGAAGAGGATAGAAGCTTCTTATTCTTGGTACTCATATGGCGCTCAGGCTTTCGTCATTGATTATACCATTGTTATGCAGAACCCGTATATTTCTTAGTTTGTATGACTCTGAAGTCGAGGAAGAATGTGATGTGGGGTTGAATAGACATTTAGTCTGCCTTCGAAACATAGACTCGATCGAGAACCTTGCACACCAGTACTTTGCAAAGATCATGTTTTCGCGCAAAAGCTTACTTGGTATTTCATTGGTGTTTATGTAATAAATTCTTTTTCTTAGCCTGTATGAGTCTGAATACATGGAGGAGTTTGATGTGGATTGGATGGACATTCAGTCCGCGTTTGAAACGTAAGTTCAACAGTATTAAATACATGTACCGAGTCGCTGATATATCTTGGCTCGTTTTCCGCCGCTCTCTTGTGTCCGGTCCTCTCTCTCCTCCTGGATTCGGGGGGAAGAGCGCGGGCTCATATTCCCGAACAGCGGCTCGTAATCTTGTCTATGATATATTGTGGTCGCTGGAAGCAAACATATGTGGGAAAACGCTGAGATTTGCTCATCGTGTAGGGTTCAAATTTAATCATTCACTGGTCTCCTCATCGCGTTGAAAACCAACTCGAAACTAATTTCGGAATCGGTTCTCTTATTTCTATAGTCTTGAATCAAAAATGAGATTTTCTATACAACAATAATCGTAGATTTGTTTTAAGTTTAACCGTCTTCCTTTTGGTACCCTCTCTTCTTCTAAATACACCAAATTAGTATGTCTTTTTGTCTAGGAAGGGTATTCGTGTATATAGGGTTTCTTAAAATCACTCGTCAGTGTTCCAGGTGCCTTAAATCTTTTTTGCTCGTTTATTTGTTTGTTTTTTTACAATTGCAGTAAATACTCGCCACATTTTCTTTGCCATAAATATTTAAATCTCAAGAAGAGCGTACCCAACTACCAACTGTTAAACTTTGAAGGTTAGTGAAATGTTTTACAGTGTCATACAATGCTCGTTTGATTTTAATCAAATTTTTTTTTATGCTCTAGTCTTGCTAGCTGTAATTGCAAAAGTGGCTATCACTTTGTAGTTATGAGTTCTCTCCTCTTCTCCTCAACATTTTCGTTGTAGCAACTTACATTTGGGAAACAATGGCTTGAAGAGAACTTAAAATCTCATGCGTTCTTCCATTCAGTACATTTCTTCGTTCACAGATTTTTTCTGATTCTTCCTTGCTGTATACAAGTTCCCCTCGTGCTTGCTTTCTGCAATCTTTTCCTTCTTCAATGTTGTTTACTGTTGGCTTGGCCTTGTTTGATTACCTGGTTTTCCCCCTAGAAATTGTGGATTATCTATACCAGCTCTTTGTAAGAGCTATATTGGAAGCCGAGGCACGACTGGACAGCGGATTGCTCAGCGACCAGACAGAGTAGTTACAACCTGTGTTTGCCGTTGTGGCTACATGACCCAGAGAAGACAAATTTCAGAGAGGAGATAATTTTTATTTCTAGGGGAAAAAATGGAATTTTCGAGTGGATTATAGTAGCATTTCCGGGATTTGCTATATAGGCACACTATGTGCTGCGCGTTATTTCCATGACATTTTTTTAGTGACTGCAATCCCATAGTCGGCAGACGTATATTCTGCAAGAAGTTTTGTCGTTCGAGAAAAGCGTAGCAATTAATTTGATCCTTCTCATCCTGTTTTGTTTCTTCAATTTCCTTTAATTGCTGGCTGTGATTTTACAAGAACTTAAAAATTCACGCAGACTGCTTCGAATCCCCTTATTTCTCCAAACGTAAATTCCTGGATTAAGACAGCTGTTCAAGAGAACTGCTGTCTCGCCAATAGGATAAATCACGTGATATAAAAGGTTTCTTGGTGCTAAGCCAGCCTGGTCGACAATGGTGGCACAGAGGGTCGGTGTGAAGCACAGGAACAAAGTTCCAGCCACAAACGCCACTGTCTTGGATGCTTTGGCTTCTCGAGGACTCGAGTTCCCTGGTGAAGAAGGCTCTTGGGAAGAGGATGCGAAAGTGTTGTGTGACAACTCTACGTTAACCTGGGCGTTACAGCGCTTGACCAGCCTAAATATCCTAAAGTACACAAACGACGTGATGATGAAATTTGCGATTATTACGAGAGATATCACTCCTATTTCCTCATTGCTGTTTATCCCGAACAAGAATCTCACAGTTAGCAGTGTTCCAATCGAGATCACCCAGATTGTGACAGTGACTGTAATCAGACATTTGGAGTTGACCCTCTCAACATAACGATACGGATAAAATACTGCCATGTATCTCTCAAGCGAGATCAAAATCAATGTCAGAAACGACATGCAGATACATATCACTCCAGAGAACGAGTAAATAAGTAGCTTGTCGCACGGAAAGTCAGCGAAAGCAGTGGTCAGTTTGCTTGTTTGATAAATAATATATGAAGGTTGAACAAACGCGCCAACCGTCAAATCTGTCAACGCAAGGCACAAAATGGAGGTATTTGCTACATTTACAAGCTGAGGCTTTCTGAGCACAGCCATAAAGACTAAGACGTTGCCAACGATTGTTAACGGACATGTAACACCGTTTAGAACACACAGCACTAGAGTCACGGAGCGGAACAAATCAGTTTGAGGAAAGGGAACCATTTTAAGACCTGAGAATCCGATGTCTCCGCATACAAACCTCTCGGTTGGGTTACTAACATTCAGTGCTTTGATATATCCTTTTTCCATTGTGATCTGAATCTTTTCTGGGTTGTTGTTGAATGAAGTCGTTCAATCTGAGGCAAAATATTTTAAAATTGAATTTACGAAGAATTGAAACACGTACGAAACAAGACAACTGTAAGCCTGATATGTCTTGTAACGATGCGCGTGTTTAGTCTATCAATAATTTCCGCAGATACGTAGACATTTGCCGCATGTTAAAATTTACACTAGGTTTAGGTGTTAAAATCTTTTCATCTCCTCTGTTTACACAGGAATATAAAAACCCGGCCGGCTGTCTATCTGTGCAAACCTTCGTTTGACGCGCTCTTTGTCATTTCAGTAAGTTACAGAGAGATAAGATTAAGTGTCAAAAAGGTTACTCGTCCATCACATCAGCAAACTCCCCCAAAAGTTTGTTGTAATTTGAAACTGAATTGATAGGCTCCTTTGTCCAATCATCGTTGTTAATAAAACTTATCCGGTTTGCGCTAATGTATGCAAATATTCTAGTCTAATTACAGACTGCTGGGTTTTGCAGACGTATTATTCCTACAGAAAAGGATTTAAATGCATCAAGGACTATTTCTTAGACGCACTTTGCTTAGCTTTGATACTTACAAAGGAAATGAAACTAGAAAAATTGTGCAATCATTTGCTCCCATTTTTTGTACTTTAAACAGATACTGCTCATGTTATGACGAGATGAAACATAAGTACTTCCTATAGTTCGTAATGTAAAAGAAAAATTAATTCAAAATACAGTATGGGCCAAACATATTAAAGGTAAGATACTCTGTCGATACAAACTCTTTTTTTTTATCTTATTCTCAAGGAACACTCGTCATCTTAGAACATATCTTAACTGCGCATGTTCGTAAGCAACACTCGTTGGACATGGAATTTTTATTTTTTACACTTAAATTATTTCGCAACACGTTGCAAGCTTTCCTAATTACTCTCGTCTTCGTAAATAATTTTTTTAAGGTGAATGCGTGGAAACTGTACTCGTTATCGACGGCAAAGTGGTTAGGACGCTACAACGACAGTACATTGGGGCTGCTTGGAAACACCTAAAAATCGGAGTGTACGAGCCCATCCTGCAAAATTATACAAATATAAGGATATTTTTAAATTTGAAAAAATTAGGAAACTCTTTTTTTTTTTTTTTAATTTTAATTTCTTCAGCACATTTTTTTATATGTTGTGTTAAATTTTTGAGCGACATGCGATAAAACATTAACTCCAACTCAGCGGTCAAACTTTTGGCATGCGCAGGGGGATCGATTTTGGCCGCCTGCGTGTCAATTTCCCGCGCAAAATTTCAAAGAAAACATAGGAGAATATAGCTGTGGCACAAGATGAGCGAAAGATAATTTAAACGCTCCTAGCCAGAAATCTGTAAAATCAGCTAAAGTAGGGAGAGATTAATAGATAAGATAAATGGTTTATCACCGTTTGCAACTAAAACATTGAATTGTGCGATTATTAAAAAAAATTATATCAATAGTTACATTAAAAGGACTACCAGTAGTTTATAATAAGTTTGCAAAAAAATTTGTTTTTGTATATCTGTTACGTTTGTAAATAAAATATGTCGAATAAGTATAAAAGTCTAGTAGAAAAAGTTTAGGTTAAAAGGGCATTTAAAATGATAAAACTGTTGCGAAATCTGTTCGTCTTGAACACGCGCCTAAACTTCCGTTTGTTTCTTATGTTCAAAGTATTTGTATTAAAGGTAGAGTAAAGCCGGTCATGAAGCTTGTTCTGTTCGCTCTGAATAGTTTTCTTGAATAGTTTATCAACTAGTTCCTGACAGCGGTCTGAAAGTTTCATTAGGCCTGATTTAGCCGATGCCTCGTTATACGAGCAAAAGGGAAAGATGATTCGCATAGCCCGTTTTTGTACTCTTCAAGTTCGTTGGAGAGGCATATGGGGAGACCGTTATGAAAGACGTACTTGACATGCATACTCCGTGATCGGACGAGTGCAAGTGCAGGCCTGAAACCGAACTAACTCACGGATACCAAGACCGAGAGCGTTTAAGCTGAGATAAGCTATACAAGCGCCTCTTGGCTTTCTTGATAATGTTGTAAATGTGGCAGTTCCATCTCAAATCCTTGGATATGTTGAGGCGTACTATTTTGGCACTGGCAGCTAGATCAATAGGCATACCATCAACAACAACTGGATCGAATAAAGTGGTGTTGTTAGTGTTGAAGTTTATACGCAGTTCCTTGCATCTCGTCTCGTTAAGTTGAAAAAGTTATCTACGGACGCACGGTTTGCCAGGATGTCAACAGCGGCTTGGATATAACTCTCTTTTTTCTTTCTAATCGTCTGCGAAATTGTGGTATCGTCAACATATTTCCAGAGATCGGTGCTAGAAACATTTAGCTCGTTGATCATAATGATAAACAGCCACTGCCCCAGTTTTGTACCTTGAGGAACTACCGCCGGACTGCGCCCCATTCCGAAAAGCAGTTAGGGCCGAGCTTAACTCGTTGTTTGTGCGAAGTGAGGAATTCGGTGATCCAAGGGATGACAGCCTCAGGGATTATAGTCTCAAGCGTGCCTGTTTTCTTTTCACATGACTATTTGCATCTTGCGTGGCGACCAAGGTCGACTTCGTGGAGATAAGTCCGCAAAGCCAGATGATGTGGTGGCTGCAGGTCACTTGATTTCAACAGAATTTTAATTCTTCTTAGGGGAATAGAAAACTCTAGACTTTTCGAACACGACGCTTCTTCAAGTTAGGGTATCCTGTGATTTACCATTCAGTGTTTTGAACTTTATCAAAAAAAGTTACGCTTCTAAAACTGGCTCCTTTGGTTGTTTGTACCTCGTCGTGGACAACACAGTTCGGACAGCGTGAAAGCGTTACAGCGTTAAAGCGTTCGCACAAGCAGAGAAGTTTGACCGCTGTATTCGTAAACTATAACGTGCCAAGTTCTTCGTCGTCGTAGGGAACTCGTAAATCTGGTGAATCAAGGCAAGTCCAAAGCCAGAGGTAAAATTTGTATAAATTATGATGTGCTTTCGGAACACTGACAAGGTTTTAACATTATTATTGATGATTAGAGTGGTTTAGCTGTAAATGACGATGAAGCCATATTGCGCTATTTTCATCAATCTCCGCCAGAGTGTTTTTTACGTCTAAATTCTCCCACAGTCTGACAGAGTTATCAATAGCCACTAATCTAAAACCAAACAGTGAAAGATGAACCCGTGGGAGCCACTCTTTTAGAGTTTGTACCCTCAGGGCAAAGAAAGAAGATTTGTAAGTTTTCTTTCTTCCAACGAACAATCAATGAATGAAACTCCCTTCCCGAAGATGTTGTAAATACAACGTCCGTATACAGTTTGAGATCGAAGTTAGTCAATAGTTAGTCTTATTGCATGATTTTAAGCTTTTAGACCTCTAACATTATTATTTATTTTTATCTATTTATTTATTTATTTGTTTTACATTGTTGGTGTGATATCTTACGATTTAACAGACTCAATAACGTATCATCATTTTGATGTTTTCTGTTTGTTTTTCTATTTCGCCGAGATAATATATTTGTAATTTTCGTCACACTGATTCACACGATAATCATGCAAATAGCAGGAAATAAAACGGCAAAGAAAATATCGTGAACCGCGTCAATAGGACCTCGTAGCTTATTTGTTAAGATGTTTTTTTAACGATGGAAAAAGGTGAAAAGTACTTCCCTTAAAAGGGGGAACATTAAATCCACTGGTAATTTGAGGGAAATTTGCGTGACTTAACGGACAGCGAACTATTTATCAGCAGGCTGATGACGCAAATGTTTGAACAATTTTTCTATTTTCATTCCCTGTGTAAGTATCAGAGCTTTTGCCACCGATAGTTTCAATATTTGAGTAAAGAAATGGTCGAAGTGATTTTGCTGGAAGCCATGCGAGTCGTCCTCTTCAAGAAATGAGCTTAGCCTTTTCATGCTCAGGAGTGCGTGACGAATGGGTTCTTTGTAGATTTTCAATAGCGTGACACTCCAGTGGACATCGTTTAATTTTGTTTGAAACTTAAAATGGCGAACGCACGGAAGCTGTTATTTACGGAAGGGTCTGCGCGGAGGCTAAAAGGTAGGGCGAAGTACCTTAAATTTCAGACACTGCGATCGTTTACAGCAATGGAAACACAAAAAAACCTTTGTTTTCTCAGGATCTTAATATCGCATGATTTTACGATTTACTGCTGAAATACAGCAAATGTAATATTGGAATCGGTGCTCAAAAACTTCGTCAGTTTCCTTCCTGGTGGCCCTCCACTTGTTTTGATTTACGTAACCATCATTGCTGCAAACTAAAAATTCTGACAAAGACTCATACCGCGATTCCTTCTAGAAGCCATCACGTCCTTCAACTTTGGAAACGCACCAAAACAAAACACTTGAACTTCTAAGGATCTGTGACCCCATAACTTTATACTTGTTAGTGAATGGGGAGTGAATGCTTTCAAAGCACAAGAATCCATCATCAACATCATATCAAGAAATCACTTTTCTAAAGAGGAAACTGAACTTTATCTCAGAATCAGTGAGGCTCTTGATTGTTACGACCTCTGATAAGTGTTGATAGCCATTCTTGGCTATCAACATTGCTGATCCTAGACAAGCGTACGACGTTTGTCACCTATGTGAACCTTATAATGCACTTAAAACTCATTACTGAGCTCTCTGAAGCTCAGCGGTAGAGCATCGGAACACGAAATCCGACGATGTAGGGTTTGATTCCTCCCGGAGGACTCAGGTCTTATTCCTTTGTTGTTTGCTTGTGACAAATGATTTTCATTCGACGAACGAGCACAAAACTTGCCATTGTTCTTATTTAACCAGCTAACTTTTTACGTGATCTTATTGATCACATACAAATAACGCCTTGGTCTGACACGTGTCACAAAATGTCAAAAACGTTTTACTATGACGGAAAATAATGGCGAAAGAAAAGCAGATACTGCGTGTTTGTTGGTACTTTTGTGGTCTTTATGAGTGGCTTGGTGGCATATGTCTAATGGAATACTAATTTGAAATTCTTAGGACTTTATCGGCTTTGTTCAGCTTTTAAAAAGTTCAACTGGTGCGCGAAACGAGTGCAAATATCGTAACGATATTCGTGCTTCTGGGCAGAAACGTTTTTTTTTAATATATATTCGTGCTTGAGTCTGGGCAATGCATAAAGTTGTAATTGTGAAAAATAAGATTAATAATGCGAAATTTCTCCTTTGAAAGTGTTAATATTCCATTATGTTCGTAATGGCACGCCCTTTTCGTGTCTTTAGGCTTAAACTGCATCAGGCATGATTCATATACGATGTCACTATCGTCACGATGAGTCTTATAAAGTTTGTATTGGCCAGTTTACGAACGGACATCGTTTTGCTATATTGTCTCAGTTTTGCGAGCCTTTATGAACACTAGTCTTATATCATATGGTTAAGGTAAGATCTTAACGGTCAAGTGATTCTTCATCAAGTTAAAAATCGCAACCAGGTATCTTCGGCAGGTATGAGTAGCCGGTTTATGTCTATCGATAACTTCTGTTGAATATGGGTTGTGAAGCGCACCGACAGGGATGAAAATGATCAAAGATTTCATACTTTGATTCTTCCGCGTTCGCGTGACTGATTGCTAAAAGGAGAAAATTCTGCACAAATATATACACCCGTCCACTCTGCGCTGACGAAAGCCAGGAGTAATTGAATTATGCAATTTTCCAAACATTCATTAAAGTGGTTTATTTGTGGTCTAATTAACAATACAGTACTTGTGATTGCAAATAACAGAACACTTACCTAGATTGTTGGCACTTATGTTCTGTTGATCAACGCCACACACAAAGCAAGCTAACAATCAAACTTTTAAACATTGAAAGAAAACGTTTAAACGTTACAGGCAACGTCTGAACGTTGAAATCAAGTTTAATTGCACTTTTGAACAAGTCGAAATCTCAAGCCATTTCAGGAACTTTTTCCTATTCTCGCGGAATGTGAACCTCACCAAACTCTCATGTCGTTTGAGTATCTCTCATGTTTCCCAAGTGTCTTAGCGATCATGTCCGGCTTAAGCTATGGATAGTGATGAAAATCCGGGTTCAGCTTACGTAATCTGTGGCAATGAAAATCCGTTTCCTCTGCTGAAAGGAAAATCAGGTCGACTCTCAGGCGCGAGCATATTACCACTATTGCATATATAATCATTATTATCGATAGACTTTGTAGCTAATGCTAACACAACCTCGAAAATCGTTTTCTTCTTGAGGTATTTCTGAGTAATCTGTTTAAATAACGCTACTTAAGTCGTATATCTAGGGTTACCCCTCAGCAGCCTTGACAGGAACTGAAGAAAGCAACTCACGCTTATCTGCTACTTGCGACCGAATGACGCCAATAATACTTTAATAGTTTAGTTTGATCATGTTTTGAAAAGGTTTTGATTAACTGCGGTCCCCATGGGAAGTTCTAGTACTCGGCTATTTTGGGCGGCGATTCGACGTAGTTCCTGTAAGAGATCCGCTCAATATTTCCGGAAATCTGCTATGTTTTGAAATATCAAAGATGAAGCTTCATCGGCCATTTCTGTTTGTGTCTCTGTTTTATTTTTTCGGTTAAAGGTTAAAGGATTAATCTGACTATTGCATAATAAGAAAATTGCTTTTAAGAAATGCACCCACTTACACTTTCCAGTGAATCTGCTTGGTGTCATCGATACGTTTAATGGTTCAGCTTGATCACGTGAATAACTGCGGTCATCATAGGTAGTTCTAGTACTCGGATATTTTCGGTGCTTCGACGTACTTTCTTTGAGAGGTCCGCACAATATTTCCAGAAAATTGTTATGTTTGAAATATAAAAGCCGAAACTTCGTAGTCCATCGGCTATTTTCGGTGATACGACGTAGTCTCTTTGAGAGGTCCGCACAATATTTCCAGAAAATAGTTATGTATGAAACATAAAAGCCGAAGCTTCATCGTCCATTTTTTTTCTTTTGTTTCATTTTCCGGTTAAAGGTCTAGGAAGTTATCTGACCATCACGTAATAGGAAAATTACATTTATTGAAGACAAAAAAAAAAAAAACAAAAAATACTCACGCGCACTATCCAATTAATCTGCTTGGTATCTGAAGCTTTTAATTATGTATTTTACCTTGAAGTAGGTAAAATCGTCAAGATATTGAGTTTTACAAGAGCACTTAGTAATTACAATTTACTAATGATGGATTTACGGTTACTAAACTTTTAGTTGTACGCAAGAGCTACAACACAATATTTTACTCATTTGGTTAGTTTCGTTTTATTATTCAGCTTTCCCTGTTATAAACGCACAATCTCTCAGGAGAAATACACAGGCGATGATGAAACGTCAGCTCTGTAATGATGATAAGTAAAACGGCAAAGAAGTGTTTTGTTCTGCGCGATAATTAAGTTTTTTTTTTCTACGTGATAGTTAAGTACTTTTCTTTTGTACTTAAGCCGGAAAAAGAAGAATACTGTAAGATCTGTTGCCCTCCCGCCTTGTTTTGTTTTACTCTCCAAAAATACCTTTTTCTGTGCATGCAAGTACCTAACCTTTGACTTTTTCAGTGGTTGAGGTATCGTCCATTTGAATTTTATTGAAAAGCCATCAATGTGTACCGGAAAGTTCCACCATGTGATGATTTATCTGTTCTTGTTTTCTTGGATTACTTTCACCGAACCTGTACGTAAATTCTACGCAATTAAGAGCACACGAAGACGATTTTCTGATTAACTTAGAAATAACCGTGATTAACCAGTTAGCCGTGTTTTCGCCGTTCGGCGAGGTCTGCGCGCAGTGCAGCTATTTTTGTCCATGATTTTGCGAACGGAATGCTTCGTCATAGTAAATTTGACACGTGCGTGAATGGTGAGTTGTAGTAATTTTGACATGCGCGTGGATAGATAGTCAAATGCTATTACAGCTTTGGTATTGCGCTATTATTACTGCATTTGCTATACAACCTCTTAGGTTGTTGTAAATCCTGATTTGCAATTATTACAATAACAACAATCCCACGTTCAGAGATCATAAAATGTTCACGTGACTTTCTTCAGCGTTAGCGTGACTATCTTCAGGGTTAGCGTGACCCTATTTAAGTTCTTGTGACTAGTCTGTGAATCTGTTGAATCGAATCTTCAAGATTGTTGAGCCATCGTTCTGCTTCAGCGGCGGTTGCGTGAAGTCGCTGAGTTACCCTTGTTTTGATCAAACAGAGCCGCGGGGAGTATTCTTGAGAGCGTTTTTCATAAGAGGCTTTAAAGGGGTTTGAACAACAATGACATCTATTAGGGAAAACAATTAATAGATCCACGTGGAAATTTTGTGTGCTTCATTTTAGAATGTTGGACCGTGTGACTGTGTCGTATGTCAAACACGTGTACGAAAGGAAAAGGACATTACTGCAACTGTACTAAGTTCTCTTGAGCAAGTTTTTCTTTTCTTTGGAATTAAATCCGTTATAACAGGGACGGTTTAAGAAAGAAAGTGTTTCATTCGTTATAACAGGGACGGTCTAAGAAAGAAAGTGTTTCACTTAAGAGCTAAAGATATGTCTCGTATGTATGTTTATAAACCACAACAATGTCTCAGGTTGTTCGAATACCGGTAACCTACTGTCGTTGCAAACATACCTGGAATACTTAGAATACTTTTATCAAATGCGTTTGTTTTGCAAAATGGAAAATCTCGTCGACGTCATCTGAAGTCGATAACTTGGCCTTAACTATCTTCAATGCAATTGAAATCACGAAAATCGTTTTCTCTTAGCAATTGATGTTACCCTTCCTGAGTTGCCTGTTTATGAAGTGCTTTAAGGCTGAATATTTATCTGGGGTAACGCTACTAAACAAGCGTAACCCGGCGAACTCAACATGCTGCTTGCGGTAGCGAGCGACGTCATCGCCATACTTAGATATTTCTGTTTAATCATGTTTTAAAAAGGTTTTGATTAATTGCGGTCGTCATAGGCATTTCTAGCACTTACTACACTTTGTAACGGTGTTAGAACACTTGAAATAATGAACGCTTACTTGAGTTAGCAAAGAAGCCTTGATGCCGCCGTAAACGTTTATTCCTCTGCTCAATAGACTATGAAAAATTTTAACTGTTTAAGAAACTTTTACCATCTTCCTTTTCATTATGTTATTTGATCACTTACGTTTTAGGTTAACTCTTTGAAGGGTTTGTTGGTTATCATAATGATTATCTAAACATTCTACTCAAAGGCGATAGTACTTCTCTCCGATTGGAATCAAGTGACGGGTCCGATGATAAACAGTAGAGCTATCTACAGAGGTTTGTCAAAATCTTGATTATGCGGTCGTATCATTTTTTTCTGATGTCGTCGATTTTATTTTTTGGGAATAAGTGAATCGCTATGGAAACACTGGAAAGTAATTGGTTAAAGAATTTTGAAGGAACAATAGTTTCGTGAAGCTATTGTGAAACGGACTGCATTTAATCCACCCTCCAATTACATCAACGTAAAAGTTGTAAAGTGTGATTGCTCAGAAAGGTCATTTACGTGACTGAACTAAGTCGATCAGAGGAACCATGCAAGGAAAAAAAAAGAGAAAGAAACACGCCCCCTTTTTAAATCCAACTTCCAGTCACGCTAACGTACTTTTAAGCTTTTGGCACAAAACGATACAACTTTTCCTCCATCCAAATGAGATTACGAGTGAGCCACTAAGATCTGTTTTCTGTGATTATGTAAAGAGTTTCCTTATTTTAACGTAACAGCCAAACACTCGTTTGTTTATTGTGCCATGAAAACACGCGCACGCTTTCGAATACGTTCTGCTTCGTTTGACGCCAGCAGAAATACAGAGGGCACACTCGCGCAAATGAACGTGCAACTGAAATAAGCGCAATATCTTCAAGTGCCCCATACAAAACAGGAAGCTAGACCTTTCGTGACTTTACCCATGACACGCGAATTTCTTTGAATATTGTTTTTGTAAGCATGAATCATACCGATGTTAAGCTGATGACGTACTCACACGCACTGCACGTGTATATAAGTCGGTCAAAGAGGTATCGCAGTGCTTAAATGAGTTTTCGATGTCTCCAATCGTACAAAGTACAAGAGCTCTTCAGAGCCTTGCAGCAGCCATGCTTTCTTCAGCAGCATATGCTGTTCTTTGGCCGCTAACGGTAATTCGTATCACTTTAGCAATTGGCTTGATGCGAATAGCGTCTTCGATCCCTATCCTCAAAGACAGAATCAAAAGATACAATGAGAAGTTCCTTCTAGTGCCCTATGAAGATTTCTGGCAGTCGTGGTGCAGCTGGAAAATGTTGCGCGCAGTTATGCAGTTAAATCTTGGCGACTTAAACAAAACAGCGCGACTTGGTTCTCCAGCGCCAGACTGTGAGCTGATTTCGACAGACCAAAAAGAGTGCAGATTGCTAGATCTAGCCAGAGGGGAACGTCCATTGGTTCTTAACTTCGGCAGCTGCAGCTGACCTCCGTTCTTCATCCGTCTCAAGAACGACTTCACCAAAGTCGTTCGGGATTTTGCTGATGTTGCGGACTTTAAGGTTATTTACATTAGCGAGGCACATCCAAGTGACGGATGGAAATGGAATGTAAGTTTTGGATTTTGTTGTTCTGTTTTTGTTTTCGTTTTTACGCTATCTTTTGTTTTGTTTGTTTGTTTGTTTGTATAAATATATATTTAAGCGAATCTTGCAATTCATATCTAGCGTTATCGTTTGTTGTATATCAAATTTAATTATTACGAAGCATCATTTGTTACTAAATTGTGAAGACGTTTCCATGCCTGCAATTGGAGGGATGAAATGCATTATGCTTCTGTTTATCACTTAAAGTAAAAGCTTAGCCGTCCCCCATTAAGGATTGAGTATCAACGGAACATTTTTCGTTTATTAAAAACAAGCAACACATAGAGATTACCGTTTCTAAAGTTCGATTGAAGCTTGCGTGAGGTCAGGTGGAATTTGCTTTCCACTCTCTGCACTTTAAACATAGCTGTGAGCGACTCTTGAAAATGCAATGTTCTGAGGAAAATGCGATTTGACGTAACGAAAAACAGACTTCAGAAAGCATAGCTATTCATGGGCGCATGACGGCGGCAGATCATGTGCACCAGCATTTCAAAAAATTTGCGGTTAATTGAAGAGGAGTTGTTTCACGAAAAACGATTATTTGTATTGGTGTGGAATTTGATAGCCTACATGGCAAGTTTACGCAAGGATTTTTTCATAATTAGCTTTTTTATAGCAGAACATCAAAATAAGCGCATAATGAGGTAGTTTATAGCAAGTATGATTGAAACCTCAAACATTTATTTTTGGCGTCAGAGCGGCTCCCCGCAAGCAAACAAGATGCGATTAAAGTGACGTAATTCGTGATAAAAGGAAAACAATTGGAAGAGTTGATTTATTTTGCGTAATTACTCTTGAGGAAGACGAGAGAAAAAGGGAGTCAAACGCAAACTAATATGTTTCATATCAAACTGTTTGTTAGTTTTCAAAATGAAATTTGAATACTTTCACTTTCCTGATGATAAAAGGAAGTAACACAAAATTTTATTGATAATGTATTTATAGTTATGTCGTTTGGGTTATAGGGCCCATATGCCATTCAGTTTTGGCTCCCCTTCTTCAACCGAACAACAGTAGTTTAAAGTATCTGTTATGGAACTTGTTGGTCTTTTGAGTCGTCTTCACGACGCAACAACTAGGATGCGTTATTACGTGCGGAAATGGTCATACAAAACGATTTCAATGCGTGTATTAAACGACTGATACCTTTATAATCAGCATCATTCTCTAAACTAATTGGTTCAACAGAACTGACCCGCGAAACCGGTGTCTGATCTTCTTGTCTCTCCCTTGAAATATTGTGAGCTGATCGATTAGTGGAAAACTCCAGGACTGATTAACCACGTGGTGCTGGTGGAAATGTTTGATATGTGGGATATGAATGAGTATAAGGTTGTGATTTTTTTTGAGTCAGAAGACGAGTTAGATGAATTGAAACCTTATGGATCGTGTATTTTAAGTTATTTAAGTTCCGAGTTTTAGTAGACAATGATTTTAAGGGTATTGTCTCTCTTGCGGTTCCTTTCAGTGAAAATGATGCCATAACTCTTTCCCACAACAATAGAGCAATCGGTACCGGCAGAAACAATTTTCCACTTCGATCATCGTTAACGACTTCCTTAGTTCTCGTTGGCCCGAAGCTATATCACGCTTTACATCTTGAAATTTCAACCTAATGCCCTATTTACTTAGCAAAGTTCCATTAGGAAGTGCGTTTTTCCTTTCGTAGTTAACTCGTGAAGGGAAAACTTGGCATCAGTGCTTGCTAAGAAATGTAGACAAACCTGAGAGAAATTTCTCATTAACCCTCTACAATTTCCTTCACATTGCCCTCTCTCTTTTTGAAGAAACAATTTTCATCCTTGGCAAGTTTCCCTCGTGGATACCAAGGGAAACGTGCCAAGTCAAAAATACCAGTGTTAATTCTTGGCTTTTTCAAGGTTCTTTTCGCGATCTTCGTCTTCTGTAATCCCTCAGGGTTTTGTTTTGGTCTATTATTATGGCTGTTACCATGACATTTGAGCAGACGCATAATAGCGCAGGGCAGAGTCTACCTCTAAAAACTAGATTCCAAAAATTTCTTGTTATCTAAGATAACTTTCAACAGGTGTTTCAGCATCACAGAATGTCTCAGTTTGTCTGACTGAAGATTTATTTATCGAACTTTTGATCTTTGGAAATAGGGATTTTTGTTAAGAAACTTACGAAAAACACTTCATCGTCGAAAACAAAGCCTTTAAAAATAGGAAGAGCATACAGAACTGTTAGTTTTATTGTAGTTTTGTTAGTAATTGTTCGTTAAACATTGGTCTGCAATTTAAACATATGCGAGAAAAACAAACAAATTCCATGTACAGTAATAGTTATGTGGAAGTACGAAAATGAACTGACTTTAAAAATTCACTCAAAACAATCAAGGTCTAAACCCAAGTTTTCTAGCATCTTGCTCAAATTGTTTTGCGATAAGCAAACTTCGGGGTCTCAAGCAGTTACACAAATATTTAAGCTTTTACTGAGTGATTTGATCATGATATGTTCAGAATCAAGAAGTTGATGATCTTGCTATCAATAAGACTTAGTAAGATGTTGACATTGAATCAATGAAGACATCACATTGGTGATTTAGAACGAACAGTCAAACAGAACGTTTGTTCTCGAGTGCTTTTACTTACGGGCCAAAAAAAAACTCTGATCAAATTTCACCAACACCTTCTTAAACGAATATCACTAATCGCATTTTTAAAATGCAAGAGGTGGCAGAATCGTGTCTGGTTTACCCACATAAACCACATCATGATTTATTTCAATCCTCACATTTGTCTTTGCCAAAAGTTACCGCCAAATTACCGACTGTAAGCCACAGTGCATTTTGCCGCCTCAGACTGTAATTTTTTGTGGTTCTCTATCATTATCAAACAGTATTAAGACCTCCTCAGAACAGCAAACAGCAAAAAAAAAGTTTAAAAGAGTGCTACCCCTCCGTCAGGATGTCTATAACCTTTTATTTTTGGTGATGTTTGCTTCAATTTAGCTGCGATTCTTAAATTATGGAATCGTTATTTAGTTGCATGACGGCTTGAAGCGAAAAAAAAGCAAACTGCCCGAAGCTATGGGAACATGCGATTTGCCAAGTCACGATTGATTTTATTTTTCACCTGACTGGTTGAGAGGAACGCACGATTTTTTTAAGCTAATCACTGGGCGCGTTGAAGCAAACCAGAGCGATCCCGTATTAATTATTTCATTGTTCACACAAAGCCTTCTGTTTGTAAAAGTTTTAGTTTGTTTTAAAATACACTTTTTTGCATCTTTAGAACAATGTTGAAATTGCTCAGCATAAATGCTTGAAAGACCGATTTGCTGCTGCAGAAATCTTAAAGTCCAGCGGTTGTCCTGCCCCTGTTATAGTGGACACCATGAAGAATGAAGCTTCCATGGCGTATGGCGCGTGGCCCGAGAGACTGTTTATTATACAACAAGGCAAAATAGTTTACGAAGGGGGCACGGGTCCGTACAATTACGACTTGACGGAGGTGCAACGCTGGCTGGAGGAGTACAAAGCTGAAATAATATAGTATTGTGTAATGTAAAAAGAAAGTTTGTTAGACGTTAAAAGGGCCACGTTACAGTTTAGGCATCTTGAACAATTTCAATTTTCATGCTAGCTACTCTTGTTCCGTCTTAGTTTGTTAATAAAATATACCTCTATCATATTTGTTAGCCTCATGGTGATAACATTTAGCGGACAAGTTCAAACTGAAGTTGGCTTGGCTGGTGACGAAAATGACTCAAAGATTAAAATTGCAACGTGGCTCTCTTTTAACTTTTGTTAAATTAATACGGCATATATTTATATTATTTACTATGTTATTTATTACCGTTCGTTCAAATTCCGAGCTTTGTGAAAGTTCCATATTTATTCATATTTAAGAGGAGCGTATATAATGAAAAGAAGCCCTCGTTTAGTTAATAATGTTGGTCATATAACAGATATTACGTCCAGAAATTCGACCACTGTTTTTTACAAGGTACGATTATCATGCACCCATGTCGTTGTTATTTTTGTCTGTGGTTATCGTGTAACGAATGAAAGCTGACGATATAAACCTCACTCGAGGGTTCATCAGCTGGATGTATTTGCTCGTTTAACAGAATGGCAGAAGTACGATAGTTGGAGTAATGACATAAAACACTTGAAAGCAGTCTTCCTTTGTTTTTGTTGTGGTTTTTGATAATGTATGATACAACTGTTGCTGTTGAGCCCATGATGGTATCGAGGAAAAATGAAGATTGAATGTATTTAAGCCTGGTAAATGTTGCATCCCCTTTGCAATTTAACCCAAAGAGGTACATAACATCACCTTGAATAGCGTTGCAGTGGTTTATTGTGTCTCTATATCAGTGGTTTTGAAGGCCTTTACCCAACCAAAGTGGAATCAGTAACATAAAGTGACATTGAAATGAAAATATGGCTGGATGATAATTATTTTTATGGTATATTATTTTCCTGAAGCTGTTACATATCTATCCAAATTAGTTTGTCTTGCTTTGGGTTTTTTTTAGCAAACATTCATGTCCAGCTGACACACTAGGTCTGTCAGCAGAAATTAAGGCATTCTGTTAGTTTAGATCCACCATAATTTGCCGCTGGATAATTTGAGGAGGCTTTGCAGTTAATGCAGTTCAATGATCTGGTACAGAGCATACCGAACTTGAAGGCTGTCCTTCATCCGAACTCGAGGTAAATTCGGAGAATTCCGCTTTCTCTGTCCTTTTTATGATAAGAGAAATGTTTAAATTGTTTATATATCAATTTCGGGGTAGTCTCCTCGCAGTATCTGCTTGGTCTCGATAAGACCGAAAACGATTGTGAAGGGGACTGACTTCACGCAGGCACCTCCAAGGTATTGAGACAGAATATTTAAATTATAAAATTTTTAACTAAAATTATAATTTTAACAACTTTTAGTACCACATGTGTAGAACGTGCACTTCCAATGCTGAACCTGCATTTAGAACTTCCGATTTGGTAAAAGTGACTTGTTCATTAACGCAAGATGGTGCACTCATTACCTTGCAAAATCTACTTCCCCCGTCCCACCCTCCCGCGGGATCGATTTTTCCCTCGGCTACTAGGAGAGAGTCCAAAACAAGTGTTTTCCGTCTGTTAAGTCGTCGCGGTAATCTGATGCTTCAAGAACAGGTAAACACCTTAACTTGTATAATGATAAATGGGACTTTCTAGGTTGCCATTTATGAGCAAGTAGCGAAAACTCGTCGCCGTAATGTTTCATAACAGGACATGTGCTTGGAGACATGAAATCCGTCTTAAGCCTCTTCACAAAACGCGGTATTCTTTCATTCGGAATTATTAGCGGTTCTTTGTGATCTTCGTAAACCTATTAACACTAATCGGAGTAAATTATATCGATTGCTATGGATGCCTGCGCAAGCTCGTTGCGTGCTTTAATTAACTGCAAAGAATCCGCCCGTCCAGTGAAATCTTCAAGGTCACCATATTATCTTCAATGACTTATCAGCCGATGAAATATGGCCGAACACAACTCCACAGTTAGGTTTTCATTCCATATGCGTAAGGAACTGATACAATGTATTACTTCGGCGCTAAGTAGGTATAAAAGTGCCAACCACGGCTCAAATAGTCGTGTTTCCAAAATTCAAATGGTCATCCAAACGGTCTGAAACGGGGTATGGTATTAAGTTAATATCTCTGAGCAAAGTCAGGTGTGCGTTCCGCACGGGCCAGAAATACAATAATTTCCTGTGTAGCAATTGTAATAACATCGTTGCGGTCGCCATGTCTTTCTGACGACTTGATTTTTTCTCTGAAATGCTATCTTCAGTAACGTCAAGATTGCATCAAACACTGAGCAGAACTTTCTTCCAAGATCAGCAACCGGTTGATTTTCTGACACGTGCTGATTAATGGACGTACTTAAAGAATTTGTCAGATTTTAAGAAGCCTTATGCCGGGTATTTCCTTTTATTTAACAGTCTTCGAGCAGATATAGTTCATTGCTAAAACGCTGTTAAAAAGGCTATGGTGTTTATCACGATTTGAACTTGGCGTACGATGAAGAGTTCTCTCTGTTGGCAATTATGGGCTGTTATGATACAGGACTAGATTGTTTGTTTAGTTCTTTTGTTTCCATTGCTCATATGCTGTTGTTTTTCTTCTCCAAAGACTAAAAACCTGACTGAAGCCGGTAATTTTCGTTTTATTTCAACAAAACATGATCACTAGGCAGGAGGTTACGATAAGCCAAGCGTTGCTTCCATAATGAATACACTCTTTCAGCGAAAATTGTTCGAGAAACGCGATACTTGCTGGCGACATCAGAATCAGAAAGTAGAGATTTTATGACCTTCTTATCTTCAGTTCATCCCTGATACGAATAAAAATGAATGAAAACCACAGAGCATTCACAAAAATTCTTAAACTTGAGTGGTTTCGCTTGCAGTTTAGGATTATGAGGACTTATCGGATAAACAAATCCCTAAATCTAATTCCTTTAATTGCATTTTTAGAATCGCAAGATACGACAGTAACGCATAAGCTTTTTGATTTATGACAGAAGCTATATGAAGTTGTTTGTCGGTTTTCGCCAGATCGGGCATTTATCCTTGATAAGAAAACCGATGACAAATTTTTATGGCTTTAATCAAAGGAATTCCCAGCGATTAAAACGGAAAATTACTGTAAAATTGAACTAATATCGCTGATGACAGCTATACTTCTGGTACGTAATTCGGTCTATAACTGTTGCTCCGTTTTCCAATAAGCACAGTCATTCATTTGTGTGTTCGTTCATCTTTTCCTTCAACCATTGCTATTTTGATCCGTTTTCCTACTTTCTACCTTGTTTTCATTCAGTCATTCATACCTGAGCCATAAAATTGTCGCTCAGATTCGATAAAGGCTTTCAAATGCAGGTATATTTGTCTCAGAGAGGGTAGGTCAGTAAGAATCTTGAAGCTCTATACGCATGGTTTATTCTTGAGTGGGAAAATTGAAGTCTTACTCAGGAAGCTTATTCGAGGAGAGAGGACTAGTTATAAACTTGAAGCTCTACACAGGTGGGGGGGGGCTCATAAGAGAGAGAGGGAGGGGGGGTTGGTCAGAAACTATCAGAGTTGTGGATTTAGAAGAAAGGGAACCATATTTCTTACTTTTCCATTGAAAAAAAAAAAGATGTTTCTATCGCGCTTAGAAAACTAAGCAAGACGTACCTGACCACATGGCTTAGCACGTTAACTGAATTAACAACTTATATTCAATTTCAGAGTTAAATTACGGATAAACAACACAACTTCCGAGTAAGTTAAGGAGCTTTCACTGATATAATGGAGATTTGTCAGACAATTTACCGCGCGACATTGATGAGTATTTTTTTCTTATGTTTTGGTGGTCGTGTGTGCCTCGTTGTCTCTCTCTCTCTCTTTCTTGTCGCTACAAACGTGCCTTTCTTTTATCGAGAGATGAAATTCGAATAGAGATTCAGCTTTTCTTGATGGAATGCAAAGCATCTTTCTTGAAAACATTATTGGTTACCAATGTTTACCACAACAGCTACATATGCTTGATGTTCTGAACCCTGGGTCTTTGTGGTTTTCCGGTTTACAGTCTGTGAGATTAGGATCAAAGACGTAATTTTTTAACGTCATAAATGATAAAAAGGTGAAGTTGTAGCATTTACATAGCTTGTAATTAAGGTCCGTTTTCTTTTGTAAACGAGCACGACCGCCTCTTTACAGGAAATAAAGTCGTGTTTAATTTATGTTTGATTCACGGGCTAAAAAAAGGAGCGGCCGTAAAGCTCTTCTAAATCGGAACACTTAATTTATTTTAAAATTGCGTATCCTCTTGAAAGTAAGTTAAGAAGGCGAGTTTCCAAAAATGTCCAACTTTTACGAAGTCGTCTGAAGTGGAAACGACATATAGTCACTCGTGCACGGTACCAAAATAACAACTAAAAACAGGGTCAGTTTGAGGGTGTGGCTTTAAGTTATTCCCAAAGCCAAAAAGAACCACATTACTAATTGATATCAGTAATCTCCCATAAGAATATCAACTGTTTGAAATTTCTTGTGAAAGGTAACACAGGTCATGTATATCTATTTACCTTTTTTTCAAGTACACCTAGTATGTTCAAACTGTCTGTCTGGGCAACCAATGTGAACGTGAGTGCTACCGCAAAAAAAAAAAAACAGTGTTTCACCGATGATAGAACGGCAGGATTCTTTCTCCACTTTGTACACCACTCTTTTGATTGTAGCATTCCAGAGACGTCGACATGATACACTTACAATGATAATAAAGAAATGTAAACGTGTCATTCGTTCAGATCTTGTTAAGTTATGATCTTTATTGATTACAGTGACCTTTCTCACAGAGGTTATCAACAGTAATTTCCGCATATCAATTTGTATGGTTACTTCACCAATCAACACCGAAAGAAAAAAAAGGGTCATCATGTTTTTTTTCCTTCGTCTGTTCAAACGTATATCAACCCAATTGCTCTGACGAAAGGCTAACGCTCAAAACGTCAGCCTTTATACTCTATACGGTGGCCAATTTACGTTTTCAACTCAGTTGATATCACTATATTACCCTGTTATACTCTCCCAGCGAAGCAGTACCACAGTTGCCTTTGTTCCTTAACAAGGAGAGAACAGGTTACCCAGTCGTTTTTACTTATATACCTCATAGATTAATTAATGATTCATTAGCTTTTATTCATTATGTGGGTATGTCTGTGTCCACTTAGTGACGAATATCGATGGAAATTTCCGATCTGACATTAGCAAATTTTAAAATTCTTTACCTTCATTCCGTTGTTTCTAACAACACTTCAGGAGACAGTTAGACATAACCATTCGGCTATCTTAATGTTCTATATCTTTTTGCATCAAAAAAGGTCTTATTTGAGAATTTTTTGCACCATCTCGTTGCCTGATCTATTTTGTTGCCATCCGCAATGTTATGTTCAAAGTCTATGATTACATAGCCCCCTTACCACAACAATGCTCCATTTCACCGGCCTAGCGGCAATTTCAGCCGGGGGTTGCTATCCTGAGATCACTAGTTGTTTAAGCCCTGTTGAAATTGTCGTCGCTTTTAAAACTAAATAAATGTGTCGATCAAGTCGATGAGAAAATAGCGGAAAAGTCGCTTTTGCTCTTCCCTTCAGAGCTGTTTAATACTTTTATTACATTACAGTTGAAATTTGACCTTTCTGCTTCACATCCTCTGTCAGTTGGTTTTGTGGAAACGTAAGGGTTGAGCTATTTTGAGAATGTGTCCATTTTGATCCCATTTATTTCCTCCGGGAAACAGGGAAAATATATGTTCAACTTTCTGAACGTCTAATTTTTATAATTCAGAGTTGATATGTAAGTGTAAACAGTTTAGCAGCATAGTTCTGACTTGTTTTCTTCTCATTTAAAAAGAGATCTCGATGTTTGAGGTCACACACACGGTGTGACCTTCATATTTGTGTTAGAGGAAATATATGGCATATGCCGAGAATTCTTATTCTGTCGCACTAAATTCCGAGGAATATTCTCGATTATAAACAAAATAAACTTACCTTGAATGTTGTACATAGTCGTTTCTTTGGCTGAAACCGCGAATTTTCAATTATGCGCCAAGATGAGTGTCCGTTGACGAACCCTTTAAAGTGTTCAAAGTCATATACTGTGTTTGAGTCAAACAGACTGAACTGTTAAAGATCGTTTGTCTGCTTAATGCACGATTCCTTTGTTCTGTGGTTATTGTTTACGATCCATTGTTATACCCTCTTGAATCACGAATTTGCTCATTTAGTTTTATGATGACCCAAGTCAAAGAAGATGCATCAAACCTTTCTCTTCACGTAGGCCGAGATGAATTGCTGTACTATATTGATGCTTTGTTACGTTAAACGATGAGTTCATTACTTAGCAGCTTACTCTTAAACATTCAATACGTTCGTCTAAACAACTTAATTAACAATACATTCGAGCAGTTAAATGAGTAGTCATGTATAAAATCACTGATTTTTGTCGTTTTATCATCGAAGTTAGGACGGTTCGACCTCTTCAAATCTTCAGGTCTGTTGCACTTTATCAGAATTGACGTCAGTATGAGTCGTTGTCACATTTTCCTCAAGAGGTGAATCTAATTAAGCTGAAGGTTGTAATACTTATTCCTAATTTTCAAAATGTCTTTTAACGGGAATCACTAAATGGAGAGGTAAAATCTGTGGATTGGATTATAGTTGATGTAACGGTTTTGACCGGTTAAGTCCCTCAGCTTAAAGACACCACTTGAAAACAACGCCCTACACTAATAGTTAGAAATACGATAGACATGACCCTCTGGCTGTAACACGCGGCCAGAAATTAACTCTGTTCCCGCTGAGATATAACTGTCCTGCGGAGACTTTCAAATCCAATTTTTGCTTTGTTGATAGTTGTAAAAAGTGTTTCATCTTGAGGAAAGGAAACCCGAATATTCCGTGACTCCCACAGCGATAGTTCAAACATTCAACGCGAAAATTGATGACAAACATCCCAAAAATGCTGATTGTTCAATCATTTTCTAGGGTTCACTGCGGTCATTGGGAATCACTCTTATCGCTTCTGTTGAGTCTGCAACTTCAGAGCGAAGACGGCTTTTAACGCGCCAACGTGAAAATGTTGGCCGAGTTGGGCCATAACATCTTGCTGAGCTTAACAGCTCTACAAGCCACAATTCTGGTCATATTGTTGAGAATCGGCTCCTCCATTCCCTATGTCAAAGAACGCATCCAGAAATTCGAAGAGCGCAATCTTCTGGTACCTTACCAAAATTTTTGGGATGAATACGGCGGAAAGAAAATGCTCGGATGCGTCTTAAAGATAATGTTAGGAGATGTGAACAAGACTGCCCGCTTGGGTAATCTAGCACCAAATTGCCGGCTTATTTCAACTGATGGTAAAGAGTGCAGGCTACTGGATTTCGCTAAAGGCACGCGCCCACTGGTTCTGAATTTTGGCAGCTGTAGCTGACCCCCATTTTTCATTAACTTTCTGAACAACTTCGCCAAAGTTGTTCATGATTATGACGACGAAGTGGATTTCCTTACTGTTTACATCCTCGAGGCTCATCCAACCGATGGCTGGCGCTGGAATGTAAGTTTGTATTTGTTTTTTGATCGCGTGTTTATGCAGTAGTTTACTTAAGGAGTAAAAGTTGATGCGTTCCTCTTTTGTAGCGCACCTGTTATTCAGGTTCTTACGACTCATCTTGAATATCCAGCCATTTCTAATATTCAACCTCATTGATTATTGACAAGCCGCTACTTCAGCAGAAAAAGAATGGCTCTCTAGAAAGTTTCATAATTCAGGAAAATTTTTGTTTTCCTGTGTGTATAAACAGTCACTGATTTGATTGAAAACATTTTCGAAGGTTCGGTTCGCCAACTTTACGTTATGGTCGGATTCCCTTCCTCGAGGGAAAGAATTTCAGGATGACAGGACTTGAATAGCTTTTATGTAATCATCATTTATCGAGAAAAATAAAACGTAATGCTCATATGCCCGAGGCAATCAAACCAAAACACGTGATTAAGTCAGTTTGTAGAATAGTAATGAGATACTTTAATTTCTGTTGCATGCATAATTTTACGATGAAGCGATCAACCGATAAAGCCGAGGAAGACTCGGTCGAGGTCAAACGAATCACAGAATTGTAAAAGCAGCTCACTCAAAGCCTTAAGGAGAAAGTAGCGTTGATTTGTCATTCTAACTTTTGCAATTGTTTACTGAATCATGTTGTGATGCCATTCAAATAAAACCTAGTGTAGGCTTGATTTCCGGTGATATTTTTTCTCTATTCCCACAGAATAATGTCGAAATCCCTCAACACAAGAGTTTAGAAGATCGTCTTGCTGCGGCGGAAATGTTGAAAAAATCAAGTCGATGCTCTGTTCCAATCATGGTCGATGCGTTTGAGAACGAAGCTTCGAAAGCTTATGGCGCGTGGCCCGAGAGACTGTTCATTATACAAGATGGAAAAATAGTATACGAAGGGGGAACGGGTCCGTACAATTACAAAATAACAGAGGTGCAAAGCTGGCTGGAGAAGTACAAAGCGAGACTGTAGAGTGCTGCTAATTCGGTTATTAACTGTTAAAAAACGAACAAACAAAAGAAACACTTTTAAACATTGTCGCACTTTTAAACGTTCGTGTTCTCCCGAGACCGGGTTTTTTAGTTCAGTCACATGACTTATGTAATCTGTGTCCTATGTTTCTCGTCTGACCCTGTCAACGTTTCACGAATGACAGCCTCAGGGGTAAGCCTGCCCAAATTGTGGGTCCCTGTGGCTCGAAGATGAAAATGCTGGCTTCACGGATAAGAAATGGAGGGAAAGGGGACGTGGCAACTCCCAAAGTATGGTGCTACATACGTCATGTGATCTAAACTATTTAACCATACTCTAAAGTAACTGTTACGTAGTTTTACTGATAAGACGTACATTGTAAATCTGTGTAATTGGCTCCTACTGAGAACGTTTGTTGTAGTTTGCAGTAGCGTTACTATTACCAAACAACATCAACCTTCAAATCACATCAAAAAAAACGAAAAATGATTCCAATTGAATTCCGCTGTGCAAGTTAGTTCTTAGTGAAAAGCAAGCAAAAATGACAACGAATTTAGACGGAATCCATTGATTGTTTCCTGTTATCGAAATTTTTTTTCCCTTTTTGTAAGCTACCCCATCGGACGATAAACCATGAAGACTAACCTTTCAGAATAAAAAGTGTCCAACTTAGGATAAAAAATAAATTAAAATAAAAACAGAAATAACCTTAATGGGTTGAAATGAAATTAAAAGATATTTGTGTTAATCTTCTTCTTTGTTTCACATTTCGGGCGCTTTTTCTTACGTAGGCCCAACGGCTTTCACCTTTTAATGCTATGACTGACCCGAACGAAATTTCTCCTCACGATATCAGTAATAATACCAAGCAGACAAGTGATGAGAATAAAGAAAAACATCAATTAGGGGATTATTAGTTGATCCGATAACAAATTCTTCGAATTGACACAAAGGGAATTGTATCTCTTACAGTAAGGAGAATTACTAATGAGATCTTGGGGGAGAAAGGGTTAAATAGCTTGCGTTAATTGCGTTAACCAGCTCTTGACCGTGGTCTTTAAACTGTTGAGAACATGCTAGATATTTCCGTTTGTTGCGTACATACTTTGAACGATTTTGTCGCTATGACGAAACTGTTTCATTACCAAGGGGCTTATATTCGTGACATGTACGATTTTCTTTGCAGCCTTTCATAGAAAAATGCTTGTTGCTTTTGCTGTCTACGATTGAATGATAGCAATAAAGAAGAATAATAGAGAACCAAACAATACAAGCGCAAGCTATAGCCTTAACATGCAGACTTGGGAGTGATTGGATTATGTTGCCTACACCAACAAGATTGCAACATTGTGGTTTGTTACACTAGGCTTACAACGTTGACATCTTGTTTCTTGTTCACACCACGCCGTGCCATTCCCATTGTTCGACCTAACCGAAACCGGCTTAATTGAAACAAGTCGAGATCACCGTCCAGCGTCATGAAAGCTGGCGTCAGTTCGAATCGTAAAAGCGAAAAAAAAAAAGGTACCGAGTGATTTAAGAAACAAGTCTCTGTCGGGGTAAACCAAAAGCACTTTGGAAGTTTTCGCCGACATAACTTTATTTCCTCGATATTAAAGACTTGGTTATTAAATCTGGGTTCGATTCATTTGAGCTCCAACTTTACTGGCTTGTAAAACTACTGAGAGGGAAAACTGAAAACAGTTTAACAACCCAAAAATGATTTAGCTTCATCGACTGAGTTGATGATGTAAATTGGCCACCGTAAAGAGTCTCTAAAGCTGACGTTTCGACCGTTAGCCGTTCGTCAGAGCGAACACGAAGGGGTAGCACTCGAAAACCCCCACCGACGCAGCACCACAGTTCCTATAAAAACTATAATAATTTCGAGTTGGAGGTACTACAATTGTTATCCCGAGACGGAGAGAGTATAACGATAAGACGTGTTCTGAAATGTTGAACTCTTTCAATATTTGGTTGTTGTGAAGTATTTTGATGTGTTTATGTTTTTTTTAAGGTTATCATTGTGATAATCGAAGCCCGCACCTAGAGTTTCCTGCTTGTCGTCTGTTTTGTCTCGTTGTCTGACTATTTTCTTACCTAAATTGGAGATGTTTTTCACTTAATTGTGATTTCTTTTCAAACCGTTTAAATTTAACTGACTATTGTGTGGTCCTTATGTAAGTCACATGCCAAGTGTTCGCAGGACCGAAGATGTAGTTTGTACCTTTGAGGAGCGGTTTATACAGCTTATCTATCAAACATTGATCATGACTTCCCTCCGGGTGGTCAGTCTTATCTGGGTTTGTGTACTGACCTTGGTTCGGACCGACACCAAAGTTCCTGTTTTGATTTTGGCTTTCAAAGAATGGCTTTTTGTTTGGAAAATATCTAGTATTTTGTTGTTTAACTCAGTCCACAACTTACATGAAAGTATTTGGGTCAGTTCTTTAACTTAGAGGTTTAATCCTCCAAAGTCAGTCGGCCCTTAACCCAAACATGCTCGCCAATAGAGTACTTAAGGGCATGTAACGGAGTCTTGGTGCCTCTCGGTAGCGCGGGTCTTCTCAGAAAATAGTGTCCCTCGTCACTGCGTCGTAACATATTTGGTGGAGACCTGAGCTGGATTCCCCCGTTCGGCGGCTTTGAGCCAGAATCTTCAAACCGATAGTACACCTCCTAAGCCGTGTAGAGCCTTCAACAACCAACCTATGACTTGCAAACATTAATATCAAGGTTATGACTGAATGAAGATAACACTAGAAAGTCTATAACACCCTGACCGAACGTTTATGTGATTGTTTTCCTAAATAAAGTAGTTAGACACGTAGCGTGGGATACCACAAAATTCGCGCGATATCGCGCGTTGCCGCGAAATTCACCGTGAGGGACGAGGACTGGAAAAAAAATTAGAGAGAACAACATGGCGGCTGATGCGAAAAATGACGTTGGAAGCAAGATTGGCTGTAGTTTGTGTCCAGAACCTGTACGTCATTGGTACTTTTAGCCTCATATGGGTTTATAAACTTGTGATCCCTTACTGAGTGGTTCGAAAATTTGAGGGAAATGGCTGAAGTTGGTTTAAAACGCTGGGAATGGTGAATGTTTATGCCCCCACGTGTCACTTGGAATACATGTTACTAGTGGTTACAGAAAAGCGATCTTCAACTTGCAAGAGTTCAGGTAAACTATTCTCACATTCTTTCCCTGCTGTTTTCAGTTCTGGACAATTTTCTGTTTGACCCCATACTCCATCATGCATACAGTTCTTGGATGAAAGAAACAATGACCAAAACAATCGGTTGCCTTTGGGACTGCGGTTTTATTTTGGAGTAGTATGGGGTTATACGGATATCTCTCCCAGTTCTATGTTCTAGACAGGTAGCTTAAGACCTTGTCAACTCATCTTGATGTTCTATACCTGTCAACCTTAATAGAGTCTAATGCGTGAGATTTTCGTCTCCTCATGACCGGAATTTCCGAAAATGATCCAGCAACTTCCGATGATTTCTCAAACTCAACATCAAGTGTAAAAGTGTAAAATAGAATGTGTAGCAGCTGGAGGAATGAATTGACAGTGATATCTTGGGAGCTGATGGGTTAAAATACACTTACCTCCATAAAATAAATAGATGGGAGATCATCATCTTATTTAACTGCTTTGCTTCAAATATATAGTTTTAATCTTTTATAAAGCAATATTCTGCTTTTGGTAGTTTAATGAGATAACAGGTGCAAAAAGTTTTTTTTTAACCAGCGAGAGAACTGTGCTCTACACTTGTTCCATTTTTTTCAAATTTCCAATTTTGGAGACTAAAATTGCCTCTTTCCACTGTAATGTACAAGAGAGAGTGTCGCATGCCATAATCAATCATAGAAAATTTTTTTCAATCAGAATATGTGTTCTTAGTTTTCATGAGATCCCCAAATACTAGACAGTCAGCTGTCACAAATCAGTATGGTTATTTTACTTCCTTTAGTATTACCAACTTGATTAAAGTATATCAGAGGACGGTACACAGATGCAATCAACATGTACCTTTGAGTGAAAATTGATAGATTAACAAGTGATCAAATTATCATATGTAGTGATGTCCTTTCCCAATGAACTATGATTTCCCATGAAAGACCACATTAATAATGATAAATGGGTGTAACACAACAAGGTTAATTTGATTGCAAATGTTAGTGAGACTGGAAACTCTGTCAGATTTCTCCAATGTCCTTCACCACAGAAAGAAAAGAGTCAGTTATAGTCTATGGGCTTATTATTTATCTAAACACAAAGTCGGTCTACCTGTCAGTAATTCAGTCAACAAATGACACCATGTTCCCACAAAAAGTGTGGCTCCAATTTTTCTGTGTAGAAACAACACAACCCACAGTTCCTCTATTTATTCAGATTAAGGGCTAGCACTTGAAACATCAACTTTAGAAAATCTGAAGCACAATAGAAAACTTGAGAAACTTACCCTCTTGACTATATAATTGTATTACAGCTGTAGGTAGACAGACTTTATGATGGAATTACTGATCAGCTGACTGACTGTAAGTTTGGATTACTGATTAATTACCAACTGATTAACTCTTTGTATGATTTATGATTGATTGACTGTACAACTGAATGACTGTTGGAATTATTTAGTTAATGACTCAATAACTATTGACTGACTGACTGAGTTACACATGGATTGTATGACTCACAGACTGATTGACTGACTGTATGTATGGTTGTATAACTAAATGACTGACTGACCCACTGATGGCTGACTGATTGCCTAAGGGCCTTTCCACACTGATGAAAAAGTTGTTTATTTAGAAAAAATTTTCTGTCATTCCCAACATTCACAAGTGCAGATGGTTTGTCATGACTTGGTAAAACTGGACAAAATCAACTAAATAAACAAAACAGTGATAAACTTCTCAATCATTTGTTACAACCAGAGTGCAATTAAACTGAAATCAGTTTACTAGAAAGGCAAAAATTGTCTTATGTTGCAAAACTCAGGGACTCTAAAATGTTTAAAAGACTTTGGATAAATCGTGGAAATTAAAGGTGGAATCCTTTGGCAAACTATGCTGGCTGGTCTTATGAACAGATCGGGTGCTGACAGAATTTGACAGCTTTGAAATTTTTAATGCAGATGGACAGACAAAACAAAAATTTGTCATGAAAAAATTTGTCTTTTTATTTTGTCAGGACAATTTTAGTTTTGTCTGCCAGTGCAGAAAGGCCCTAACTGACTTACTGAATGTATGATAGCAAGACTAAATGACTGACTGACTGATTTACTGTGTGACTAACTGATGACTGATTGACGCACAGACTGACTGTATGAATGAAGACTAAATGTCCGACTGTCAAACTCATTGGCTGACAGACTGACTCACTGAATATTTAATGGTATGACTGTCTGATTGAATGACCAATGTCAGTCTACCTGACAATCAATATGAAGGGAGTATAGCTCCCTTTTAGTTCATTCTACTCTTGGATATGAATTGCAAATTGTGGTGTGACTGAAATTTTTACAGCATTAGGCAACCCAGTGCAAAGGTTAAGCCCATTTTCCCCACCAAAACAAGAGTCTACAGTATTTTTAACATCTGTGTTTTGCTGCCAACAATAAATTGTTATCATTTGTAGATATAGATGTACATGTATGCCACCCCAAAGTAAGCAATTCTTGTGAGTCACTAAAAACTTTAAAAATGCTGCGGCAAATAATTGAACTTAAGCAATCATAGTAGATGGCTGACCATAGCAATGAAAAAGAAAGTGGGAGAAGGAAAGAGTAAGAGAATACATACCTTGTAACATCAGCTTTTTGCTCCCCCTTACCTCAGGACGACAACATGAAAACAACATCATCAGTGCTCATCTGATTGACAGACTGACTGACAGTTTCTCTGAAATGGCTTTTATTTCTCTCGCAGACTTAGTGACTGACAGACCAAATGTTTAACTTTAAGAAACTGATTGACTATCCATTGTAGATTAAAAAGCTGTGTTGTTTTTGGAGGTTATTAAACTGGCTGATACATTGACTGACTAACTCCTTGATGGCCAACCGGCCAACCGGCCAACCGGCCAACCGGCCAACCGGCCAACCGGCCAACCGGCCAACCGGCCAACCGGCCAACCGGCCAATTAACTAACTGACTAACTTAACTATCTGGCTTATTGACTACTTGGCGGGCTGACTGACTGTCTGACTTACTTCCTCAATTACTTAACAACTGACTGACTGACTGATGGACTGATCCAAGGCTTTAGAAGGAGGTGGTCATGGGCACCTGTGGACCCCTCCCCCCTTGCTACGCCCTTGCCCACGAGAGTGAGCAAAAGATTACGAATTGGTGATCTATCCAAAGAGCCCAAACAACTGGGGAAAATCATCAGTTATAGTACAAATTTGGAGTAGAGTCATGGGAATCAGTTCCACGTTTTTAATTTACTTTATTCGTTCAGTTTCTTAAAGCCTCATGACTTGATATACTTCTTCACCCTGGTATAGTAAAATGTGTGGAAATTTGTGAGAGGCAGAACTCATTAGAAATTCTTTTGTGCTGATGTCTTTCAGGTAAACAGGGGATTGTTTGCAGAGACCTCGATTGTACCTGGACTGTTCGGGATATGAACATGAACTGGAAGATGTAAGCTTATTTTGTTAACGTTAGCAACAGGTTAGATTGTTCTAGTTATGAGTAATGTCGATGATATCTCGAAGCCTTCATGATAACTGCGATACTTAGCCTCTTCTGCCTTGGTCAGAATAATGATCATCATTGGCCTCGTATAATTACAGGGGAGGAGTAGGTGTTAATACCGATGTTGTCGAAAGAATTCTTAGATGTTTCCTAATTTGTTTTCATACGATGAATAAAAAGAAGTCGCGTTGTGGTGAAACGTTGATTCTGTAGAAGTAGAATTTGTTACATACATCTCGCGCTGACCAACGGCAATTCAATAGGACTATACACAGGTAATGAAATTTTTTTTTTCAGGAAAGTTGAGTAGTTCTTTTCCGAGTACTGAGCATAATGTTCGCTCGTATTATATGTTATACCATCGAACAGAGGGATTTATTTTTTGGCTTCTACTTTAAGGACGTGCTTTATCTGAGGAACGTATCAAATGTGCAAAAGACGAAAACTACATGAACAAAAGAAACCGAGTCCTTTGGGAAAAATTAAAAACAATATGCAGCTTTAGATATGGCAAGTGTCGGCGAACAATAAAATATATTTCTCGCTTTCCTTTTCTTTTTTAGATATCGCAACGATAAGTTCAAAAGAAGGTTAAGGTGAGTATAATATGTAGTTTAATTCGGGTAAATCTGTCTGAGTGAGCGCCTTTGCATCCACAAATATTTCTTCATTGTGGTTGAGCAGCAAAATTTTATTCATACATTGCTCTTTCACTTTTCTTCCAGATAACTCAGAGTTTTAAAACAATTTTAAAAAAAAGAGGCTTAAATGGGAAGAAAACAAGGAATGCACAAGCGGTGGACGAAAGGTAGAAATTGTACAGCGAAAAGACTTCCATTGTATTAATAATGGTAATAGGACTGAGTGGAGTCCAATTTAGTCTGGAATCATGCAAGTGATTGTCAAAATTGGACGACCGTGAAACGGGAGTCCGATTTGTTAATCACGAGTGTGATTACAGACAGAATTGGACGACACGAAGTCCTGTTACCAATTAATCAAATTATGACAATTTGAGAAAGAAACTAGACGTCGGTTGTACGTTTTCATAAAAAAAAGCAACAGTTAAGTCGGCGAGATGTGCGACAGTAGCGCGCGCATATGACGATAACCAATCGCGTTCGAGAAGTTATGGTGTTTATTACCCTCGACAGGAAGGCCATGGCGAAACTTTAAAACTTGTGTCTCAAGGAATGAACAAACGGGGGATAAAGGGAACTGATTACACAGAGAAAAAGCTTTTCACACTTTACACAGTGAGATCAGTTTTTATATTCTCCTTACTGTTCTCTGTACATTTACTAAGGTGCTGACAAGGATAATTTGTCGAACAATCAAGAGTTTCTTTAGTTGGTGATCATTTCCTTTATTTCCATGACATTGATGTGTGATTCAGGGGTGATATTGTAAGGAGAAATTAGATGCTAGTCACTCCTAGGGGTTAAAGGGTTAATTTAATATAGAATAATTCGGCTCGATAGAGAATCCTGGAAGTTTATGTTTCTTGATTAATCTAATCTATTTGTTCTTCAGGTTGCGAGAAGGAACAAAGCGGAATGAAAAGGCCCAATACAGAATCGGAGTGGAAAGGAAGGAGAAATGTCAAGAATATCTCACTCTCTCTTGCAAGACTTGTACATGTACTTTTATAGCTTTACCGTTGTTTTTATTAAGCTCGTACACTTGTACAGTGTAGTGCAACTGGAGAGAAAGCGCAAATTGGGAGCCAGATAACGGTACAGACGGACATCCTTGTTGTATTTGAAGAATAATTTTTCTGAGTCTTTTGGCGGGAAATGTGGGTATGGCCCACTTGATGTTCTCTCTACCTTACTTTAAGATGTCATGAAAAATGACCATCTCCAGCAAGAGCCATTGAAAAATGTCAACCTTGGAATGAACGAAAAACTGGGGGTCGATCCGCCACCGTCCCCCACCACACCCACCTCTTATAGACAGTTGTTTTGTAATTTGAGACAAGTTCATCCTTATGGTGAAACTACATCTTTATTACGAACACATGCGTATTGTAAGACACATGCTTATTACGATATGTCGTACCACAATGTTAAACTTGTCTCATATTACAAAATAACTGTCTATAAGAGGTGGGTGTGGTGGGGGATGGTGGCGGATCGACCCCCGATTTTTCGTTAATTCCAAGGTTGACATTTTTCAATGGCTCTTGCTTGAGATGGTCATTTGGATGGAAATGACCCCCGATTTTTTCATTAATTCCAAGGTTGACATTTTTCAATGGCTCTTGCTTGCGATGGTCATTTGGATGGAAATTTTTTTTCTTCCAATACAACAAGGATGTCCGTCCGTACTTTACATTATCGAAGTGATCCACAAGGAAGAAGTTGGTGGAGGTTTTTATATTCCAAATATAGCCTTCTTTTCAATTTTAAATGTTGGTTGTTTTTTCAGGGCTGAGATACCTGCGAGATAGAGATAAATAAATGAATTACTTACTTTCTATGAAATTATTATATATGGCTACAATTTTTTTTCAACATTACAACAACAGTTATACTCACCAAAATATTAAGTATCCTGGTCTCCTTAGCCCTTTTGCTTGTAATCTCCGCTGTATTGGAAAGAAATAAAAAAATGCGAAATGTTAAAACAAAAAAAAAACTCCCAATTCCTACATAATCATCAACTTACTACTGGGAAATAATCCAGCAAGGTTTCGTTCGAATTTGTGCATCTTCTCCGTCGCATGATGAAGTAGCTGGCTTCTCGAAAATTTCAGGGAATTTGCAGAACAACATAAAACGAGATGTAAATTTTCACTCCTACATCTAAACAGTAAACAGAAGGCAACACACGATTTTCACACTAACTTTTCACCCACTACGCTGATTTGAACATTTAACGCAATGGTTTAGCTCACGATAAGAAATTAACCCTTCATGCAACCTGGGCTTTTCCAGTTTTCTTTTATTATTTTCTTCGTTCCCCGAGAAAAAAAAATACGTTCGAAATATATCAAACTGGATAAACCTTTTCGTCAAAGAAGAACGATTTAAAAGGAATTCTTATGTCAAAGGCTTCTCTTGAAACGTAAATACTCATATGTAGCTCTACATTTCTAGTGCACATGAAATTAGCCGGTACGATAACAGTAGTTCTATGCCTTCTATGTTCTTATATGCCTCGTCGTAAATTTTCTCCCATGAAAATAAGTGGAATTTGGGTAGGCCTTTGTAAAAGGGGCCCTGCACCCTCGAAAGGAAATGAATATTTTTCAGGTGGACTGCGGACACGTACACCTTGCCTGATGGTTCTATAATAAACACACATATTTTGATGGCAATAGGATGAGCTAAAAAGTTCTTTGCATAAAAAAAGTCAAGCCTACAAACCGGGAGGAAAAAAATAAAAGTTTGGATCGTTCGGTGCGGCCGTTTACTTGCTCTGCTTCCCCTTAGAGGGTTAACTTGCATACTATTGGAATAATAACATGACAAATCTAGCGAAACATGAAGACATTAAAAGCAAAGTGTTACCTGCCTCGAAAATGTCGTTCCTCTTGAGAGTAAGCCAACCCTTGGGGTCCAACTCTCTCTTGCTTGAAATTCATGATGAGATGGAGCTATCCAAAATTTTCTGGTTGGGCTACTGTACTTCAAAGGGCATCAACGAAGTTTTCGTCATTATGGCTTCTTCAATCCAACAGGGAAACGATGTGCTAGACTTTCATATGAACAGATATCTTGTTTGAAGTGTGTGTTTCTTCAATCTGGAAATCAAAACATCACCAATTGCCAAGCTAATTATAAAAAGTAATACATTGCTTCGTATAATATCATCTTCTTGAATAAGCATGCATCTAAACAAAGAGGAGGGAACTTGCTATTTCAGAAAGTGTCAGAAGATTAATCAGTACTCCATCAGGTGACCATTCAATGTTCATTAAGGAGGCACAGGCATGAGTTTATTATTGGGATATTCCCTTATCAGCACCTTCAGGAGAGCCTTTCTACCCACACTGTCCCTTTATGACAAACATGTCAGCATTTTCAATAAAGTTACTAGAATGGGGTCTCACATTTTCAAGATTTTGGTTGTAAGAATAATTCTGGTAAGTTGGGATTTAAAAGGGTGACCTACTTAAAAGGCTTTATAAGGTAGATGTGTAAACATAAAATCACTTAGTTGGGATTTCAACAATTAAATTTGCCCATGAGTCACTAAGATGGGGTCTATAATTAGCCACAGAATAGACCATAATAGGGTAGGGGGTTCTTAGAGGCCAGCAGGACATACCCAGCACAAATTTAATCTTCAAGGATGCTTTCAAATTGCCTGATTTGTTGTTCTATGCAAAGAAAATCCTATTGTTAACACGCATTTTATTTTTACTTTTGGCAAAGTGAATGGGGATTGGCTTTGTCAATCAAAGAGAATTCCTCACTGAGACAAAGTGACCTACTTAGTCTCCATGGGCTGGGGATAGTGTTCTCCCATTTCTTATGCAAAGTCAAATATCTGCTCAACACAGAAAGACAGTTAAATTTCTTAGCATCCCAGATGAAGACTGAGGAAGAGACTTAATGGGTGAAGCTGGCTCCATTTTAGGTTAAAATTAGTTCAAGATCAGTTCAACGCAGTAAGACAGTCCAGTTTCCAAAACAGTTTTCACACACTTCTCTTTGTTTTTTGGTGGACCAAGTCTTAGCATCCCAGGTCAAGACTGAGGAAGAGACTTTATGGGTGAAGCCAACACCATAGTGGGTCAGTTATCAGTCACCCATCTCTTGTACACAGTTCAAGATCTGTTCTGTGCAGCAAGACAGCCCAGATTCCAAAACAGTTTTCACACACCTCTCTTTGTTTTTTGGTGGACCAAGTCTGATAGCATCCCAGATCAAGATTGAGGAAGAGACTGTATGCATGAAGCCGACTCCTTTGTGGCTCAGCTGCTAGTCATCCATCTCCTATACACAGTTCAAGATCTGTTCAGCACAGTAAGACAGTCCAGTTTCCAAAACAGTTTTCACATTCATTTTCACATTTCAGATTACAGCTACAAGTTCAAACAGTCAACCCAAAGACAGGCTGTAGGGCACCTCATTCACCTATTAGGAAGAAAAAGATGAGACATGGTTAATTAACGTGGACAATTCATGAATCTGATCAAGTTGATCGTTCATAACTTCAGAGTGCTTATACATTTAGAGAACATGACAAAGGTGGAAAATAAATTAACATGATACTGAACAATCGTATTTTATGCAGATCTTAAACTAAGTTGCAACCACTGTGAATGCCATCTAATGATAAATATTCACCAGCGAGTAATCCACACTAACATATAAGCTGCACCACGAGTTTGGCAACTTGCAAGTTTTTGGCAAAGAAATCATTGATAGGAAATCCCAAGTGGCATCTTAATATTAAAAAGCTATTTTATATTGGTTGTTTCATCAAATTTCACTGTTTGTAATGAGCAACAGATATTTTTCAGTGGTGATTATTAATATCCAAATTCTCTTTTTAAAACATTGGAGGGCAAATTTTATAGAACCAAATTCATCTCTGTCACACAGTGGAAAGAAATGATGAACCTAATACGAAAGAAATATGAGGAACCATAATAAGTTGCCCTTTAAATACCTGCAATCAAGAAATTGCAGCAAACCAAAAGAAAAAGATTCTTTCATGCCATCTAAATCACAGCCACATTACTTTTCTCAGAGAAGATTGATTGACAGAAATGTAACATTAATCAAATGTAATAAAATGAGTAAAAACATTTCATGCCAAACTGAAAGTTGCATTTTAAATGATTGGTTACAAATCCAAAGAATTTTTTTGAGAACATGAAGACATGTCTATGCCCTTCAAATATTGCGGGTAACTAAACAGGCGAAAGGAACAAGGTTAGCGATAGTATTTGAAACAACAAAATCTTATTATCAGGTAATGGCCTCTAATGGTCAAAAACCAAGTGACTACTCTTCTAGGGGAAAATGACTCTCACCCTTAAACGATGACCAAAACAACAAAAGAATAAAGAAATTCTTAAATTATTGGAAATACAGTAGTTGCAAACTTGTGTTACAGTTACTGTAATAACTAAAGGGACCATCAATGCAGTTACATGCAGTACAATTAAAATACTGTATTTGGATGGTTAGATTCTGCACATTAAAAATGGATGTAAATATATCCTATTAGGTGTATAGTGTTGCTGATTATTAAATGGAAAGGTAGTCCTGGGGGAAATCCATGTGTTCTGATTGGTTCTAATTTGAACCAAATGTGCACAATCCCATAGAAAAGGGACTTATCAAGCATTTAATCATACGACCATCGTGTGGTCATATGATAAAATGCTTATTGAATCAGTTTGGTCAGGCCAGATGGTAAAATATTTGGCTCTTGGTCATGACACACAAACCATGCTGTGCCCACCTCAAACATCATGACCTCAAAGCAAGTATTTTCCTGTCTAACCCTCCCACTCAGTCAACAAGTATATAACATCATACATGTACATCTCCTTTAGCCAAATGTCAGCTGTCAAGCTGCAATTTT